ACTGGTCTGAGAAATGCCACTGATAACCTGCCCCTGCCGAGATGAAACTATAGCCTCAGTCTGGCAACTGGAAAGAGAGAAAACTCCCACCTTCTTGGCAGTACATGTCTAGCATAGAGTATTCAGGGTGGGGCTTCTGTAAAATGGAGCTAGAGGATTAAGCTAGGTGGTAAGAGACAGTTGTGGTTCAAATCCCAGACTCTTATTATAACCAAAATTTGGAAGATTTCCCTGAAAAACCTTTCTCTATTTTGTTGTATATTCTTAGGACAATTTACAGAGACATTTATTAATCAAATTTTAAAATTATTTTCTCCAGTTAAATGGTTGTATTGCTGAAAAGGCCCACCAAGCTCTTTACTGTGTCATTCTAGAAGTCCTCTTAAACAATATACTATTATACTTCTTTTTTGTTTTAACATCTTTGTTGGAGTATAATTGCTTTACAATGGTGTTAGTTTCTGCTTTATAACAAAGTGAATCAGTTATACATATGCATATGTCTCCATATATCTTCCCTCTTGCGTCTCCCTCCCTCCCACCCTCCCTGTCCCACCCCTCTAGGTGGTCACAAAGCACTGAGCTGATCTCCCTGTGCTATGCAGCTGTTTCCCATTAGCTATCTATTTTACGTTTGGTAGTGTATATATGTCCATGCCACTCTCTCGCTTTGTCACAGCTTACCCTTCCCCCTCCCTATATCCTCAAGTCCATTCTCTAGTAGGTCTGTGTCTTTATTCCTGTCTTGCTGCTAAGCTCTTCATGACCATTTTTTCTTTGATTCCATATATATGTGTTAGCATATGGTATTTGTTTTTCTCTTTCTGACTTACTTCACTCTATGTGACAGACTCTAGGTCCATCCACCTCACTACAAATAACTCAATTTCGTTTATTTTTATGGCTGAGTAATATTCCATTGTATATATGTGCCACATCTTCTTTATCCATTCATCTGTTGATGGACACTTAAGTTGCTTCCATGTCCTGGCTATACTTCTTAAAAATTATAAAAAGTTGGTTTAATGGACATGCTTTTTTTTAACTCAAGATGTTTGTCACTGTAACTTATTCATGTTGCACATAACTAGTACATTCATTTTAACAGCTGTTTGTGTGAACATAAACAAATTATCTAATAGTCTTGTCAGACTTTTAAATTTTTGACAGTTGAATGTGTGCAAGGTGGGATTCCTTTATATTTTTGATTTAATGGACAGGTCTTTATGGCCACATGGATGAAATAACTTCTGGAGGATTTGAGAACAAGAGTAAGGAACTTATTGCATAATTTCTAATTTTCAATGCCACCTGAGTTAGTTTCCATGTCACGATTTCTCCCTATTTCTAAAATGTCTATTTTCTACCACCACTACTTCAGAGAACCACCCCCATGAGGCACTGACATTTCAGACATCTTGCATTCTTTTGGGAAGTGTCATAGTAGTGTTTCCTCCTTGCTTCTTGACTACCTCCAACAGGATCCAGCACTCTGAAAAGTGGCCAACACCACTGCAGCCTGGGTTTCACCAGTACATCCTAGCATTTATGCAGCCCTCTCTCCAGCTCCCCAACACTGCTTTTTATTTGGTGTGTCAATTTCTAATTTTAATATTTCAGTTTATAAAAACATAAGTGAACATATTAATTTTGAAGAAGCTAAGATGTTGATATATAAATTAATTTTGAATATGTTTCCCACAATATATTAACTTTTAAATGTGCATCACAGCCCTCAGTTAAAGCAACAGCAGCAAATGCCATCAAGGTAGTTCTAAGCCATGAATAGGAATGTCTTCTATTGACTGTCTCATGTAAGGTTATCCTCTAAACTCAATATAGGCTGTATTTATTTCTTATTTTTCAAACACCACTTTTAATATTAATACTTCAATCAGCGAGTCTCCAAATTGAGTGTACATTTGAATCTCTTAAAGAACTTGTTAAAATGCAAATGCCCAGGATCCACTCCCAAAGATTCAGATTCAGTATATCTGGAGGAGCTGGGAATCTGCATTTTAACAAGCACTGTATGGAATTCTTATGTCTATTCACATTTCAGAACCATAACTCTTAAGGAAGAAATTCGCAATATAAAGAAACAACCTTTTCCACACAGTTGAGATTCTTTTATCTTGGCCATAAAGCACCATTGGCAATTTCACAGCTGATCCAAGACATTGCTGAGTTCAGTCAGTATTACTAAGCCATTCTTCTCTCTCTATGCCCACTGCTACTCAGCCTTTAAGCTCCAGCACTTCCTGCCAGCTTTATGAACAGGGGCAAGCCAGAACAACTTTCAGTCCAGCCCTGGAAGGAAAATCTATAAAACCCCAGGCTTCAGGCTGTCTCCTCCCTACCTATTTCACTCAGTTGACATGCTTCACTACACTAGTCACAGCCTCCACATAGCTCTGGCATCCACAGCTTCTGACTTAAAATTAGCATAATGGGAACAGAAAGTAAGAAAGAACAAAAAGCTATTTCTTTGAGGTTTGCTGATGATTTTTCTTTTTTAGACTCAGGCTATTCAGGTACTAGCTCCTTCACTCCCTGCCTAAGCTAAGCTAGGCCTGGCTTGGCTGACATTCTTGTGGGAAAAATTAGTGAAGAGGGAGATATAAAATGGATGCACTGACTTTTCTGTACCCTACCCAGAGAAGCTGGATGTTAAGAAAAGATGAGTCAGTTTGGAAGTATTCTCATACTGTTACTTCCGAATTTGTGGGCAAGAAGTGATATTTTAGCTCACTCATGCAAGCCCAGCTTATACTATATCCCTCCCAAATTGTGTGTCAGTACCAGCTTTCTTACCTCCAGTGGTGAATTTCTCACTCCCTCTGAGACAGCTGACACCACCCAATGATAGCTCTGTTGAGATGATAAAGTCTATCTTTCCTGTGGCTTTCTAAAGTCTTCCCCTGAGAATACACTGAAAACATTTCCTCCCTCTGCTTTTTGATAGCCTTTCAGAAATCTGCTGTCTGAGACTAAGTCCCCTTAATTCTTCTCAAGACCAAACAGCCCCAGAAGCTTCAACTGCTACTCATTAGATTTGTTTTCCAAACTCCTGCTGTTATGAATTAAATGTATGCCTCAAACTTCATATGTTGAAGTCCTAACCCCCACTGTTGCTATATTAAAAGTAAGAATGCAATTAAAGTTAAGTGAGCTCATAAGGGGGGGGGCCCTCATAATATAGGATTAATGTCCTTTTAAGAGGTCTCTCTCTCTCTCTCTCTCTTCCTCTCGCTTTCCCTCTCCTTCCCTCCATTCCCCCTCCTTCCCTCTCTCTCCCTGTGTACACACACTAAGGAATGGCCATGTATGGCCATCTACAATCTGGGTAGACAGTTCTCATCAGAAGTCAAATTGGTTATGGACCTTGATCACGGACCTTCAGCTCCCAGAAGTGTGAGAAAATGAATTTATGTTGCTTCAGCCATTCAGTTTGTGGTATTTTGCTATGGCAGACTAAGCAGACTAGTACACTTCACCAGATTTCTCACTTCCCTTTGGACAGGTCTCAGTTTCCTTTTGTGGAGTCCATAGCTATTACTCTGATGTGGGCCTGACCAGTAGAAAACAGACCCAAATTAACAATGTTGGTAATTAACTGCTTTTGGAATTTCATATTTATTCGATTCACAGTCAGCTTTCCTTACGCAGTTCTGTTTGTCTGCCCTGAATGCCTCTCAGAGTGACCCCACCCTGATCCCAGGGCACTGATTCCTAAGACAGCTAGCCTTTCTCCTGCTCTGCCCTACTCCTACTGTATTAATTTATTTAATAAATATTTACTATACTGTATATTTTTCAAGAGTTTATTTTTTAAGAACAGTTTTAAACTCACAGCAACAATGATATGAAGGTACATAGATTTCTCATATACACTCTACTCCCAACCTCACGTAGCTTCCCTCATTATCAGTAGATGTACCAGAGTGGTACATTTGTTACAATTGATGAACTTACGTTGACACATCATAATCACCCAATTTTCATAGTTTACACTACTGGTCACTCTTGGTGTTTCACATTCTATTGGTTAGGACAAATCTATAATTGCATATATCTATCATTATACTATTTTAGAATATTTCAACTGCCCTAAAAGTCCTCTGTGCTTCACCTATTCATCTCTTCCCCCACCCTAACCCCTGGTAACCACTGATCTTTTTATTGACTCCATAGTTTGCCTTTTCCAAAATGTCATATATTGGAATCATACAGTATGTAGCTTTTTCAGATTGGCTTCTTTCACCAAGTATTATGAATATAAGGTCCCTCCATGTCTTTTCATGCCTTAATATCTGATTTCTTTTTAGTCCTGAATAATATTCCATTGTCTGGATGTACTTCAGTTTACACATCCATTAGCCTACTGAAGGATATCTTGCTTGCTTTCAAGTTTTGGCAATTGTGAATAAACCTGCTGTATATATCTGTGTGCAGGGTTTTTTATGGACATAAGTTTTCAGCTCATTTAAGTGAATCTCAAGGAATACAGTTGCTGGATCATATGGTAAGAGTATGTTTATTTTTCCAGTTGTTTTGAGATGTAATTGACATACAATATTATAAAAACTTTAAGGTGTACAGCATAATGATTTGACTTACATATATTGTAAAATGATTAACACAATAAGTTTAGTTAACATCCATTATCTCATATAGATAAAAAACAAAAGGAAAAAATTGTTTTTTTTCCCTACTGATGAGAACTCTTTAGATCTACTGTCTTTAACAACTTTCAAAAACAGCAGAGTTCCGGCAGAGAGCGCGGTGAGAAGCGGATCGTGGCCTTCTAGCCCAGGGCCCTCCAGGCCCTCCGGCCTCTGGTCGGCAGGTGAACTGGGGGGCCCCCGGGACAAGCTCAGGCTGTGTCTTACCGAGCCCCAGAGCCCTCACCGCAGCCGCCCACTGGCAGGGCCCGAGCCTGGAAGCAGCAACGAACTGCTCCCCCACCCCCACCTCCGCGACCTAATGGCGGCGGCCCCTCAGAGCCCAGATCCCGCCCACTGCCGGGTCTCTTGACCCCACGCTGCAGGGGTTAGGCGAAGCCTCCGGCAGGCCACCGAGGACGTGGCGCCTTTGGGCGTTGGGCGTGGCAGGGCGAGAAGAATGGCAGCCACTGGAACGCTGCGGAGGGCCGTTAGAGCCTCGAGGGCCCGGGAAGGGGGCTCTACGTGGACGCCAGCTCAGCCACCCTTAGGCCTTGGAGCCCGCGCGGATCCGGGACCTGAGGTGACCTCTCTGCCCCAGTTGGACGAGACCTCACCTCGTCCGGACAACGACGGACAAAGGCCTTAACGGGCCTGGAAGGTGAGCGGAGCCCCGGTCCACGACGGGTGGAACGTTAGCGGGTCATCGGGCGGTTGGTCGTCGTTCTACCAAGACCTCGATGTCGGAAGATAGAAATGGTAGAATAACATACCACATGCGGCCAATAGGAAGTGCCCGCCACCCTTTGGGAAGATTTACTGGCCGTTTATAGAAGGCCTGTGTATATAATATGAAAAAGCTGCTCTCAACTTTCCCCCCAACCTTTCGAAAGAAAACTTTTTGCTACATATAGGCCTTCTAGATGTGAAGAGGTTGCCGATGTATGATAGAGTTAAAGTCACATGTCTTGTAAATACCCATTTGTTTCTTTAAAAAAACCGTAGAAAAGAAATGTCTTCTGGAAATGACTTTTCGAAATGGAGTTGTTTGACCACCTCTAGAGGCGACAACAGGAGCCACAGAGGTCCACGTTTGTTCAGTGGGTTAGAGGACATGGAATGGAAGACTTTGAGGAGGAAGAAAAGAAGGTTCTGTGCCAGACTGGTCACAGAAGACATTTGCATATTAGAACCATTGTTTTGTGTGTTCATTTTACTCCTTACTACTGTATGTGTAGTTGACAATAAGTACTTTTTTGATATATCTAGTCTTTCTAGATCTTCTAAAGTGCCTGATATTTGTTCAAAGTAGAGGTAGTAAAAAGACATTTTGTAAATACCTTTTTGTTAAAATTCGTATGAAATGTTGTTTGGGGGGGGAGGGGTGGCCAAACCACCTTTTTGAACAGTACGCAGTATGCACTGTGTTTGTTTGTGCACTGGTTCAAGGTCGCCGGGAGGAGAAGGAAGCACAAAGAGCTCTGTGCCAGTGTGTTTATAGTGAGGCAAGATTAACCATTGTCTTTTTTATGTTCCCACATTTTGTTTCACTTTGCTGTGTATATAGTGTATATAATGGACAAATGAGTCCTAATTTACAACATCTAGTCTTTCTAGATGTTAAAGAGGTTGCCAGTGTATGACAAAAATAGAGTTAGTAAATAATACATTTTGTACATTTTGTGTTAAAATTTCTAGGAAAGATTGTCTTCTGAAAATTTGAGCGTGATAGCCCTCTGGGTTGGTGGAGGGGAGAGAGAGAGAAGGGGGTTGGTCTTAGAATGGCTAGAATGCTGGTATTTTGAAGACAGTTTCAGATTATAACTGTTACATGTGTGCAGTTCATTCAGTACTGCTCTGTATATAGTGGACAAATTAAGTCCTTATTTGAAACATCTAGTCCATCTAGATGTTTAGAAGTGCCCAACGTATGTTAAATGTAGATGTAGTAAAATATCACTTTGTAAATAACTTTTTGCTAAAATTCACAGGAAGTACTGTCTTTGGGAATGTTAAATGTTAAACCACCTCTCTGAGCAGTATACTATTGTCTATACTTGTTCAGTGGTTTGGAGGAGGGATGGAAAGAATTGCAAAAGGTAATATGCTAGTGTGTTCATACCTGGACATTTTCAGACAAAACCATTTTTTGTATGTTCATTTTGTTTTGCTGTGTATATAGTGTATATAATGGACAAATTGAGTCCTAGTTTTGCAACATCTAGTCTCTAGACGTTAAAGGGGTTGCCAGTGTATGACAAAGTAGTAAAATTAGCACATTTTGTATACTTTATTGAAATTCATAGGAAAGCTTGTCCTCTGTAAATGACTTTTGGATATGAATTTGTTCAACCACCTCTAAGCATTACATATGCATGTACTTGTCCACTGGATTGGTGGTGGAGAGAAGGAAGTGAGGGAGGAAATGGTTCAGGCCAAAATGGTCATATTTAGAAGATACCTCAGATTATAACCATTGTTACATGTGTGCAATTTTATTTAACAGTGCTGTGTACATAGTGGACAAGTAAGTTCTTATATGAAATATCTATTCTTTCTAGATGTTTAGAAGTGCTTGATGTATTTAAAAGTAGTTTTAGTAGAATAATGCTTCTTGTAAATAGCTTTTAAAAACTGATGGGAAATACTGTCTTTGGAAATGGAATTGTTAAACCTCCTCTCTGAACAGTATACTCTGTGCTTGTTCATTGGGTTTAGGGAGGTTGGAGGGAAGATTGCAAAAGATGTTTTGTTAGCAGATACTAGAACATTTCAACTTATCCATTGCTCTATATGTTACATGCATTTTGTTTAACTTTACTGTATATATTTTGTATATACTGGACCAATGGGTCCCCATTTTATAATATCTAGTCTCTAGATATTAAAGAGGTTACCAATGTATGACAAAAGTAGAGTTAGTAAACTAACACATTTTGTACACTTTGTGTTAAAATTCATTGAAAAGCCGTCTTCTGAAAAGGGCCTTTGGAAGTGAAATTGTAAATCACATCTAAGTGACACCTGTGCCTGACACCTGTGCCTGTACTTGCCCAATGTTGGATGGATGGCAGAAAGGAGGTGCTGGGAGAAATGAAGTGTTCTAGATTAGAATGTCCCTATGTAGAAGACACTTTCAGATCTAACCATTGTTACATGTGTGTAGTTTATTCGACACTACTGTGTATATAGTGGACAAACTTTAGTCCTTATTTGAAACATCTAGTCTTTCTAGATGTTTAGAAGTACACAAAGTATGTTAAAAGTAGAGGTAGTGAAGTAACATATTTTGTAGATATATCCTTTTGTTAAAATTCATATGAAATACTGTCTTTTAGAAATGGAGTGATCAAAATGATCAAACCACCTCTCTGAGCAGTACACATTATTTTATTTGTGCTGGTTCAGGGAGAAAGAAGAAAGTGTAAAGGGCTTTATACCAAGACTAACCATTGTCTGGTGTGTCTCTGCATTTTGTTTTACTTGGCTGTGTACATAGTGTACATAAAGGACAGAGGGTCCAAATGTACAACATCTAGTCTTCCTAGATGTTAAAGAGGTTGCCAGTGTATGACAAAAATAGCCGATAAATACATTGTGTACACTTTGTGTTAAAATTCATAGGAAAGACTTCTGAAAACAACTGGAGGAAGTAAAATTGTTAAAATCCCCTCTAAGCATTACAGATGCTTATTCTTGTCCACCGGGTTGATAGAGATGAGAAGGGGAAGCTTCTAGGCCAGAGTGTTCCTGTTTAGGAGACACTTTGTGACTATAGCCTTTGTGTGCAGTTTCTTCAGTGCTACTACGTGTATACATAGTGGACAAACTTAAATCTGTATTTGAAACATCTAATCTTTCTAGATGTGTAAAAGTACACAACATATGTTGAAAATAGAGAGTTAAAAGTAACACCTTTTAAAGTATTTTTTTTCTGTTAATTCATAGGAATGGTTGTATTGGGGGAGTGGAAATTGTTAAACTTGAGTCTTGGAGCGTAAGCTGACTATTCACTGGGTGGTGGGGAGGCGGGGAGCAGACAGGGAAGGAAGTACAGAGAAGGGATCTGTGCCCATGAGTCTTTAGACAAGTTCAGATTGTCTAACCATTGTTCTATTTGTGTGTTTTAGTTAATATTGCTGTGTATTAAAGAATAAGCAAGTCCTAATGCCCAAAGTATATTAAAAGTAGAGGTAGTAAAATAACCCCTTAATAAATGCCCTTTTGTTGGTTTTTAGGAAGGGCTGTGTCTTCTGGGAGTGTCTATGTTAATCCACCTCTTGGAGCTAGATATAGTCCTGTACTTAGTTGCTGATATGCTGGAGGATGGGTGAGAGGAAGGGTGAAGGGAAGGGCTCTTAGCTAATATCTACATATCTAGAAGACAGTTTTAGGTTATAACCATAGGTCTAAATGTGCATTTTTGTAAAGTACCAATGCTTACTATGGACAAGGTTCATTCATTATTTTGCAACATCTAGGCTTTTTAGGAGTCCTGAGGTGACAATGTATGATAAAAAGTAGAGCTAGTGAATTAACCAATTTGTAAATATCTTTGTTATAATTGGTAAAAAAGTAGCATCTTGGACATGGAATTGTTAAACCATCTGAGAAATGTACACCAGGACTTGTTCATTAGGTTGGCAGCAGAGGGGCAGAAGGAAGTATAAAAGGGAGGGAAGTATGTGGATGTATTCCTTTTTATATTTTGATGATAACCATTGATGTGTGTGCATCTCTTAGCTGTACTATAGGAATACATTGTTAAGTAATTCAGTGGAAATATACCTCCTTGCTAATACTTTAATAGTTTAGATCAGATAATGAATCCTCTTAAAAGCATTATACTTTGGGTACTCTGTTGCTTTATGTCTCATTTTTAATTGAACGTTAAGGGAATGTAGTATTTTAATCATAACTCTGCCAATATCTTTATCTAGAGGCCTGTTGCCATTTTTGTCTTTTCTGAAGTTTTTGTCGCCAAGAAAGGATTACATTTTTTTCCTTCCAGATTGAGTTGGTGTAGTGTATTTTTGGTTATCAAAATACTCATAGCTTTGGGACTTTGAAATGGTAAATATTCATGATGTGTGAAAAAGCATGATACATAACTGTATGATCTTAATTACATAAAAATGAATGCTTAGTTGTGTTTAAATACACAAACGAGACCTAGGACACATCAAATGGTAAATTGCCTGTGATGATGGATGACTGTTTTTTGCTTCTTGTGTTCTTTGGTTTCCTATTATGCACATGTTAACTTTTAAGAAATAAATGTTATTTTGAAAACCTTAAAAAAAAAAAACAGCAGTGTTAACCATAGTCATTGTGTTGTACCTTACACCTCTAGTATTTATTTATCTTATGAGTGGAAGTTTGTACACTTTGACAACTTTCATCAAATTTTCCCTCCCTCTACTCCTGCCTCTGGTAAACATAAATCTGATCTCTTTATATATATATATATATATATATATATATATATATATATATATATATATATATTCCTCTTATAAGTGAGATCATGTAGTATTTGTCTTTCTCTGTCAAACTTATTTCATTTACCATAGTGCCCACAAGGATCATCCATATTGTTGCAAGTGGTAGGATTTTGTTCTTTATTTATGGTTGAATAATATTCCATTGTATATACCACAACTTACTTATTCGTTCATCCATCAGTTGACACATAGGTTATTTCCATGTCTCTGCTATTGTGACTAATGCTGCTATGAACATGGGTGGAGATGTCTTTTTGACATAGGGTTTCTGTTCCTTTGGATACATTCCCAGAAGTGGAATTTCTGAATCATACGGTAATTCTATTTTTAATTATTGGGGAACCTCCATATTGTTTTACATAGTGGATGTACCAATTTCCAATCCCACCAACAGTGTATAAGGATTCCCTTCCCTTCACATCCTCGCCAACATTTGTTATCCCTTGTCTTTTTGATGATAGCCATTCTAACAGATGTGAGGTGATATCTCATTGTGGTTTTGATTTGCATTTACCTTATGATTGGTGATGTTGAGCAACATTTCATGTATTTGTTGGCCAGTTGTATAATTTCTTTTGGAAAATGGCTATTAAGATCCCTTGATCATTTTTTGAAATTGGATTATTTGTTTTGCTACTGAATGGTATTTATATATTTTTGATATTGACCCCTTATTAGATATGGTTTGCAAATAATTTCCCATTCTGTAGATTGTCTTTTCATTTTGTTGATCATTTCATTTGTTGGGCAGAAACTTTTTGGTTTCCAATTGTTTGTTTTTTATTTTGTTGTTTGTACTTTAGGCATCCAAAAATCATGGCCAAGATCCCTGTCAAGGAATTTTTTTCCTATGTTTTCTTCTAGGAGTTTTATGTTTTCCAGTTCACATTTACATCTTTAATACATTTTGCATTAAATTTTTTGAATGGTGCAAGATAAGAGCCTAGTTTCATTTTTTAATGACAATATCTAATTTTCCAATCTCCATTTATTGAAGAGACTGTTATTTCTCCATTGAGTGTTCTTGGCTCCCTTGTCAAATATTAGTTGGCTGTATATTGCATGGTGTTGTTTCTGGCCTTTCAGTACTATTGCATTGAGTTTTTTTGTTTGCTTTTATGCCAGTAGCATACAGTTTTGGTTACTGTTGCTTTCTAATGTGACTTGAAATCAGGAACTGTGATGTCTCCTCTCATTTTTTTCTTCTTTTTTAGGATTGCTTTTACTATTTGAGATCTTTTGTGGTTCCATATAAATTTTAGGATTTTTTTCTACTCATATAGAAAATGTCATTGGCTCTTGATAGGAATTGCATTGAATCTATACATGACTTTGGGTTGTATGGAAATTTTAACAATATTAATTTTTCCAATAACTGAACATGGAATATCTTTCCTTTTATTTGTGTCTTCTTCAATTTCTTTCATCAGTGTCCTATAACTTTTCAGTGTACAGATATTTAACTACCTTGGTTAAATTTATTCCAAAGTATTTTATTGTTTTTCAATGGTATTGTAAATGGGATTTTTTTTTCCGTTTCAGTTAATTCATTGTCAAGTTATAAAAAGCCAGCTATTTTTGTGTATTAATTTTCTATCCTGCAAGTTTACTGAATTTGTTGATTAGATTTGACAGGTTTTTGGGGGGAGTCTTTAGGATATTCTATATATAAAATTATTTCATCTGCAAATACAGCCAATTTTATTTTTTTCCTTACCAATTCTGAAGCCTTTTATTTCTATTCCTTGATCTGTCTGGCTAGGAATTACAGTACTATGTTGAATAGGAGTGGTGAGAGTGAGCACCCTTGTCTTGTTTGTTATCTTAGAGGAAAAGCTTTCAAACTTTCACCATTGACTATGATGTTAGCTGTGAACTTGTCATATATGGTCATTATTATGTTGGAGTAAAGTCCTTCTATAACTAATTTGTTGAGTGTTTATCATGACCTGAAGATGAATTTTTTTCAGATGCTTTATCTTTATCTATTGAAATGATCATTTGATTTCTTTCTTTCATTCTATTAATGTGATGTATCACATTTATTAATTTTCATATGTTGAACCATTCTTGCATCCCACGGGTAAATCCCACTTCATCATGG